TATTTAACATATCGAAATATCCGTATGTACATACTTCTGTAGTGCATATTATATAGTTTTTAAAAAATTTTGGTTTTTTGCTTCAGGTTCAATCGAATGGCAGATCCCCGCAACGCCGATTTGACAAAACGACGTTTAGTAAATTGGCTTCAGCGTCGCCATTTTGTTAAAAAAATAAATAAAAAAAATATTTTTACTTCTAAAGACTTGTATTATTAAAACCTTAAAACGAATTTTTTGTTACTTTTATTGTTTTCCTAAAAAAAATTCCCAAAGTTACCGATTGATTTTTAGGCGGTCAAGGTGGTGTAACCCCTTAAGACGGCCTATCGCGCCGCGCGCGCGAATGGCGATTGGCGTCGAGGTTAAACAACAAACATGGCGGCACGGCGTGATGCCGCCTGTCTTGACAGTGATTCCAGTTATTCGGAAGATCGTCGGATAGCTATTGATTTTCACACGACACTCGGTTCGCGTTGAATAACAATTTCAACTGACAGGCGACACGTCTCACAAACAACGAAAATGTTGCTGACGTTAAAGCCGGATCACAAGAAACACGTGTTGTTTCTAGCCGAACAATCGTTACCAGGTACGACCAAAATAATCGTCTGTGATCGTCGAACGTAAAGCGTGTAATTTCTCCTCCGTAGTTTTGCAGGATTTCTGCAAACTGGCGCTAGATTACTTGCAGAAGGGCCCGAACGTTAAGGTGTACAATGCCGCCGCTCGTAAGTACCTGGAGTGACAGCCACAGTGTGTGTGTGTTGTGTGTCGAGAATAAATCTTGAAACTGTTTGTTGCACTAATTCTGTCAATATAATGCCAGCAGAAATACAACCAAATGCTAATATATAAGAATCACGGTTGTGTCACCTAAGGAATATTGTGTCAGATATGTATTAGTGTTTTGCCAAAAGAGACGTTCTCTTTTTTTTCCTTTTACTCCACCGGCTGATGGATTATTATAGGCATTTATAGGCTTTATAGCGCCTTCAACCTTCTCGCAAGGTTAAAAAGAGACGTTCTCTAAAAAGAAAAGTTATCAAAATTGTCTCTTCTGCCCGAGATTTTTTTCATCGAGCGCGCCCAAAAGAAAAATCATCGTGCTTTTCCAAAAATAAGGTTATCGGGAGGTTATCTGGAGAGGTGGATAACCGTGAATTAAGAATATAAAACAAATTGACTGCAGCATTGAGCTAAAATCTGCCGTTTTGTTACCATTTTAATGATATGCTCTATTTAAATGTTTACAAAATAGATTTTATTTGGATTTCTGTTGTCAGATTATATCGACAGATTCTACCGGCAAAATATGAGTTTAATGCAAACACAGGTGATGCTGGGTATTATAGAAATGTTCGAAATGGATTCTGTCCAATTATTCCCTAGATTTCTGTTGTGTTTGTCTATGGAAAGCTGAAGAAATTCCGATCGTAATCTATTCCAAACATTTCCATAATAGATAACCTGTTGCAATATTTGAACAAATCTACCGTTTACTTGTTGTAATACTACCGGCAATTCGTTCACTGGCTAATTGCTGTAATTGGGCATTTTCCAACAAGAAACACAGACGATGCATAGTATAACATGGGCTGCTTTTCTTTTAGAAAATACAAATTAACACACTCAAGCACAGTCGACTCTTATATCATATGTAGCCAAAAGTGAAAAGATTATTCTAGACTAAGAGATCTTGTGCTAGAGTATCATCTAATATCCATCTTATTTAGATGGAGTATCCACTGGAAAAGTATACCAAATAGTAAGTAAGATATAAAACAACTTTAGGAAACTACTAAAAAAAATGTAGTTGAACAAAATACTATTTTATTGGGATAAGTTTTAATAATTGTTCAATCGAAGAAAAGCACACTCTAATTCTCCTCCCGAGAGAAGTCCAAGAGTGTCGATTGAATTTGAACAAAATTATAAATGGAAAGAGACATGTGTCGACTGTGTTTCTTAAAAGAAAAGCAGCCATAGTGAATTATTTCATCCTTGTTTAACAAGCATGTTATTTGTTGGGCAACAAGCATGATTCATTGATTGTTACACAGTGTCAATTGTGTTTCTTGCTGGAAAAATGCCCCCATTGTCAAAGTGATGTGTTTGTTAACTGCACAAGCCATCTTGTATATTTATTTCAGAGAAGTTGAACGTCGAGCTAGACGTGATTAAAAATTCGGTAGAAGGTTTAGTCAATCTTTTGCTGGAGAGCTGCAAGCACAAGGTGAGTAGACCTGTAGACGGTAACGCGGGACGAGAGCTTGTCCGTGACAGGAGGGCGTTGTTTGACATACTCGAGTTTTGCAGCTAAGCGCGGAGGACTTTCGGGATTCCGTGGTCGCTTTGGGCTTCACGGAAGACAAGGAGGCGATACTGAGCAAATTGTACAGCATTAAAAGAGACGAGGTCTCGGACGCGCTCGAAGAGATTGGATTCAAGCTGCCCAGATACCACGACATGGAGTGGAGATTTGAAGTGCAGGTAGCCCGGAATATCTCCGCGTTACATCTCTCATTCTTCTTCTCCGAATGTTGCGATTTATATTTGAATTTGTGTATTACCCTGCGTTGCAGACCGCGTCGAGATCTCTGTTGAAACAAGTCGCGCCACTCGTCACCCTCGACCTGTCGCTGAAGAATCCCGATAATCCAGAGGAAGTCGAACATGTTCTGCTGCAAACCGATCCGACTAACTTGCTTCACATAACTCAAGAGCTGGAGGAAGCTCTGCAAGAGAGTCGCAGTCAACACATTCGGAGAATTTCGAAAGCAGTAAAATGAGGCTTTTCGTATAATTTGTACAATTATATATACTTGAGGTAAATTTATGAATATAATGTGTAATATACAGATGTATATAGAAATAAGTACAAGTATATAATGTCCAAGATTAAATAAAAAGATTTTTCTTATCTGTAAGGATCGTACCGCGCATAAATTTACCTTATCTAAAAATCATAATTTATCATCAGCATCTGTAAAGTTTCACTCCGGTCGGATCGTCCCGAATAACAAGTGACAGTAATCGCACGCGCTTTACATACGTATACATTATACTAAGGCAGTTGGACACATTTGCATATGTAATTGGATAGATTTATTGGATCTCTATGCCAGGATATATAAGAGAAAACTGCGCTCTTCTTGCACTCGTACTGTGGACACGTCACAGTTACCACCACAGGCTATTCCTCGTCGCTATTGATGTTTTACAAACTAGAGTCATTTTCAGTTGCCTCGAATTCAAGACCTAGATTCTAGATCCAGCAGGAGCAATTATACTGCTTGAAACATTTCAATATCAAAAAGTATGTATACTTTATTCACTTTTATGGATCATATATTTCTAAATGATCGCTAATTACTTATTAATATTTTGCAGACAATGGAATACCATTATCCATTGAGTGAAAATCTGACCACTGTCTTTGAGAACCAAAAGTATCAGGGGTTCCCTGGGGACTACGCCAAGACGTTTGCTGATGTGCTAACGATCGGACCGCGAGCTATGCGACAAATATCTTTCAACAATCACACCGTAGTGGATAAAGTACCTCCGGATATGGTGCATTTAATCGATCCGCATTGGTGATTTACTTTTGATATCTCTTCGTAATTAATAATATTTTTGTATCATTTCGCGTTTTAGCAAAAGATAATCACTGAGCACTGAAATTACAGGTATCAGTTTCCACCGATGGATCCAATGTGGCATAAAATTCTGGGCCTTGTGATGATTATATTAGGGCTTATGGGATGGATCGGTAATGGTGTTGTGGTATATGTGTTCCTGCTGACGCCCTCCCTCAGAACACCGAGCAATCTTCTAGTGGTAAATTTGGCATTTTCGGACTTTATCATGATGATAATCATGTCGCCTCCTATGGTGATCAACTGCTACTACGAGACCTGGGTATTAGGTAATGCAAATTTTGCCTCTTTCCATCGTACTGTTTTTAGAAAAAATGTATGCTATATGTAAGTTAATTTTGCACATTAAGGACCGCTAATGTGCGACATATATGCCATGGTTGGCTCCTTATGTGGATGCGCTTCAATATGGACCATGAGTGCTATTGCTTTCGACCGATACAATGTTATAGTGAAGGTATATATAATATTTTTCTACATATTATTAGTAAGCGATGACAGAAACGAATATGAACAAATTTCTTCAGGGTATGGCGGGAAAGCCACTCACCATCAAGAAAGCGCTACTCGAAATTTTAATAATCTGGCTTTTCGCTTCAGTATGGACAATTTTACCCATGGTGGGATGGAACAGGTATTAAGATAATTAAAAATTATACGCCTGTAAAAAAGATATCTTGCGCTCTGTAACGCACAGCGTTGTAATAATGTTGTAATAGTTTTATAATGTGATGACGATTAGATATGTGCCAGAAGGTAATATGACCTCTTGTGGTACCGATTACCTTACCAAGGATTGGGTTTCGAAATCATATATCTTGGTGTACTCGATATTTGTATATTACACACCGCTGCTTACTATAATTTACAGCTATTACTTTATCGTTTCGGTAAGTACACTCATTGAAAACGACATTGAAATAGATTTCGTATCTCTGTAAATATATTTTTGAAACTTACAGACAGTGGCTGCTCATGAAAGAGGAATGAGAGAACAAGCGAAGAAAATGAATGTTCAATCTTTGCGAACTGGAGATAATCAAAACATAAGCGCGGAAGCAAAACTGGCAAAGGTGAGACGAGAAAAGAAATATATTATGTGAAATATTTTGGTAGACTAATATGAAAAAACCAGGCTCGCGACATTTGCTTTATTAATTATAGGTAGCTCTAATGACCATTTCTTTATGGTTTATGGCATGGACGCCGTATCTGGTTATCAATTACACCGGTATTTTCGGTGGTGCTAATATTAGTCCTCTTTTCACCATTTGGGGATCTCTCTTTGCAAAGGCAAACGCTATATATAATCCAATTGTTTATGGAATTAGGTAAGTGAGATTTTTAAGTAGGATATATATATATATAAAATTATTAATGTTCTTGTATTTTATACTGCACAGTCATCCAAAATATAGAGCAGCGCTAAAGGAAAAGTTACCGTGTTGTGTATGTGGCTCAACTGAAAATCCATCTACGGCTGCGAAAACTGCAGAAACATCGTCCATTGCTACGACCGCAGCGTAATTCCGAACAATGTATTTATAATTTCTAAATTTTGTGATACAATTAAGATATGTTTCTCGAGGAAATCGACAAATAATATTAGATATACACGAATATAAATTATCTATGTAAAACATGTGAACGTGTGAACTTGTAAAACTTCAATAATTGCGGATTGCCGATTATGCAAAAAGCTACATACGGAACTTTGAGTAGACTACTCAACTCTATGATATGCTGTGTACATGGCTAAATTCTCATTTGGTTTTAAATCTCTTCTATTCTTTACTTTTATGCAGATGTTAAATATTGCCTTTGCAGAGATGAATGATAGGAGACACTTAGTGTCAATTGTAGTAGGTTGAAGGATATTATTCAATAAATCATTTGGCATGTAATGATTTAGGAGGGTTTCTAGAATTTTAAAACGCAATAAAACAAAATACTAAACTCTAAAGGATAGTATTAGATGCGTGAATATATGTATATATATACATATATAACACAAAAATTTTATGATTAAAAATTTTTATGGTTTAATAAAACTCTTGTATGTGATTGCATGCAGAATTTATTTAATTCTATAAAATTAATTAGACACCATCGCCATTTTATGGCGATGTAATACTTTTAGCGATATTAGTATATATTATGTTTGCTTTCCAAAGTGACCATGTATTTCAAGAGGTGATGTAAATTTACAAACTGCGCTATGAGCCATTTTTATGAGAGATTCGTCTCGTGGTGCAGCCGAACCATACAATGTATCATAGACTAACAGTTATAATATGAAACTGTGTTTGGCCCTCGATTTTTCTTGATTAAAGCTTTTCGCATATTGGCTTGGCTTTCGTTTTTAAGTCTCGCTTTGATCACAGTTGACCGTACAACACTTTCTCTTACGATATAAAATCACGATTATAAATATATTCTCGCGTTAGTGACATACTCTCTTGCACGCGTTATTTAATGCAACTATTTACAACATGCTTGATGATGCGATTTCTTTATGACGAGAATGTAACAGTATACCACACGGCGTTACGTCCATTTTCAGCAAATCTATTGCATTGTCAAAACGAAAAATTAACTGTGTACAGCATCGTATTTATTTTATGCGGCAGGTTTTTCGCCTTCTGTAACCGTCGTGGTCGTGGACACTGTATCCGCGCCGGCCGCCGGCTCGGCGGAACACGCCAGAGATGGGAACCTTTTGAAGAGAGCAGCTCGATATTTGGGATGGCTGGAATCATACAGAGAAAAAAGATCGGCATTGTTAGAAGCATGCGAAACAGTTCATCTAATCTAATCGTTTTCTATCTGAAAAAAAAAAGATGATTCGGATGATAGTATCCACTTTGGAGAATGGAATTGTTGCTCACCTGATGCCGTACACAATGGGATTGTACACGGCATTGGCTTTGGCAAAGACAGAGCCCCAGATCGTGAAGAGCGGGCTGATCTTGGTCGTCTCGAAGATACCCGCGAAATTGATGACCAGGTACGGGGTCCATGCCATGAACCACAGGGAGATGGTCATGAGAGCTACCTGTAATAATCATCGACGCCGTTACAGCATCCGCGTACACTAAAAGTCAGAGAATAAATAAATTTGAGAGAGTTTACAAGGGAGGAGAGCCCATACTTTAGCCAGTTTGCACTCGGCGCTGGTACTCTGGTTCTCGGTCGACCGCAGAGATGCCACGTTCATCTTCTTCGCTTGCTCACGCATGTTCTTCTCGTGAGCGGCGACCGCCTGAATGATGAAGAAGTAGCTGTAGATGATGAGACCCAACGGCAAGAAATAGACGAAAATGCCGTAGGCCAGGATGTACGATCTGGAAATCATGTCCTTGGACAGGTAGTCGGTACCGCAGGCAGTCATGTTGCCCTCGGGTACGTAGCTGTAAAAAAAGAAAATATGTATATTGCTGACAATTGCGATAATACTCTTGAATTAATATTTAATACTATCTTAGACTTGTGCGTCTCTCACCGGTTCCATCCGAACAGCGGGACGATTGTCCAAAACAACGAGGAAGCCCAGATGCCGAATATGCGAAGGAGGGAGCCGTTAATGGTCATTGGCTTAGCAGATAAGCCTTTAACGATTACGTTGTACCTGTCGAATGCGATCATCGTCATCGTCCATATGGAGCCACACCCGAACAGGGAGCCCGCCAAGCCGTACAATTCACAGAACAAGGGTCCTAGCGACCAGGTCTCGTAATAGCAGTTGATCACCTGTATGTGCATCGTTAATTACGTGTACAGATCCCTATCCTGTCGCGTGGAATATATATATATTTTGTTGGCCTACACCCGATGGAACACGACGGTTACGCACCATAGCTGGAGACATGCACAACATCATGAGGAAGTCAGAGATGGCGAGATTGACAACGAGCAGGTTGCTCGGAGTGCGGAGACTCTTGGTGCTGGTGAATATGTATACCACCACGCCGTTACCGATGATCGAGATTGTGCCGAGGACGCCGATGACGAAGCCGAGGAGCGCGTGCCACAGAGGGTTTAGCGGCGGGAATTGGTACCAGTGGGCGTCGACCATGTGGAGCATCTCCGGTGGCACTTTGTCGACCACCGTTTGATTACCAAAACCGCCCCCCTGCGCCGCCCATGTGTAGGCTGCGTGACTCGGTCCGGATGCGAAAGACATGGTGAACTGCGAGAGAGTTGGTTTCTTTACATTAATTAATATTCTCTCATGCGATATTTCATGTACCATCTTAAGTAGTCCCTTGACTGTTTAACATTTTAAAAGATTTGAAAGCGAAACAAGGATAACAATTCAAACGACGTACTGTCCAAACTCGAGATTTATATCACAAAACGTTATCGCATGTCATTAAGAAATCTTTTAAACGTTATATTACAAAATGCTTTATGATATATAATGTTTGAAGGACCTTTAATGGCATTTCTAAGACGCCTTACGTCCCGATTTTGGACATTGTTGTCTGGCAAGCTACTCGACGTCAGCAAATTTAACTGCAGCTGGCTTTACCGAGTCCTCGCACGTTTCCTTAATTAGTAGGCGTAATCGCGGCGGAAGAAGTAAAAAAATCCGAACAAACGTAAAAATTGTCGCTTACTTCCGTTCGTACTACTTGGAAAAAATCGTGGTGAAAACGAACTAATCCAAGCGAACTTGCGGGATCGGTGTCGTCGGCGTGATCTCTTGTAACGGCCTTATCCGTGAAGACGCTGGCAGGTAGAGTTCCCTGTTCGGTCCACCATCGGCTGCGGCTCAAGGTTCATCGCGACGACGTGCCGCGCTTAAATACGCATCGCGATCTTCTTACGTCTTTGCGGCTATATGCAACACCCTCCTAAGTCGGTAAACAGTCTTAAGAAGTTCTTCTATTAAATTACAGGATTTAGGAATACCTTGAGAGTACCTTGAGTGTCGCACACAGAAACCTTACGAGGATGCAACAAGAATAGAACGCGAAAGATCGCTCGATGGTACGGATTGACCAAAATCGACGATTTCGTCTTATTTCTTAAAACGGTCTTAATAAATTTTCTAACTGTAGAAGAAAATTAAATTTATTGTATAATAACGCCTTAATAATTCTAACAAGCAATAATTTTTATATATTTTTTTTATTATAAATCTCTTTTATGGTTTCGGGAATAAATTAAATAGGAATATATGTTCATGTATACGTAAGGAGAGCTAAATATGTTGTGTATATATACAAGCTTTATTTTATTCAAATACATTTTTTTTATATTTATATATAACAACTTTGTTTGATATAAATATTAATATACATATAATTCATATGTATAAAACAATTATATATACAAATATTAGAATATATGTAATTTTTATAATATATAATACATATATATAATTTAAATATACAGGGTCCTCAAGAACTATTAGTGCCTAAAATATCTTGGAATTTATAAGGAGAAAAACTTTTTTTACCAAAATTGCAAGGTACGAAGGGGACTACCTATCATATGGATAATAATTTTTATTCAGGTGAAGATCAACTGAAGATCAACTTGGTTTTTTCAAATGGAGTTATATGATTTTTTTACATAATATAATTCCTCTGATTGTTCTGCATACAAAAGCGTTAAGGTAAAGTTGTCGAAAAATCAATATTTTACAAGATATTTAATACTTTATCATACCATATTTTGTTAAAATATGAAATATCTCGTAAACTATTAATTTCTAGATAATTGTACCTTATACTTTTATGCACAAAATAATAAGACGAATTGATTGGTACCAATAATCGATTGGTAATCAATTGGCGTAAAGAAAACATACAGTTGCTTTGCAAAAAAAAATTAAGTTGTATTTTTTTTATAATAGCAACTGTGTTTTCTTTATACCAATCGATTCGTCTTATTATTCTGTGCATAAAAATATAGATAAGTACATTTATCAAGAAATTAATAGTTTATATCAACGACATATTTTATATCAAAATATGGTATAATAAAGCATTAAATATCTTGTAAAATATTGATTTTTCGACTTTACCTTAATACTTTTGTATACAAAATAATTAGAGGAATCATATTATGTTAAAAGAAATCATATAATTCCATTTAAAAAATATAAAGTTGATCTTGAAGCACCTCCACCTGGACAAAAATTATTATCGCCATATGATAGCCCTTTTCGTATCGTGCAATTTTGGTAAAAAAAATTTTTTCTAGACCTTATAAATTCCAAGATATTTTAGGCGCTAACAGTTCCTGTATATAGATATGTTTAAGTAATTTTAATGTATATGTATTTAATTAATATATAATTATTAAAAACATTTATATTATAATAATATTTGTATATACGACGAACAAAACTCATTGATTTTGAACGAAACGCCATTTAATAAACGCGATCGATAAATATATAACTGCAACTTGGAGATAATCACATGGAATTCAAAATAGCCCCCGAAATGTAGCGGTTGGCTACTACTGAAGTATTTATATTTCAGTGTTGGCTACATCGGCTGTGATCACTGATCATCTACACGCGGATCCCGCCGTATGTAATGAATTGCAATGGCCTTTTTGGTAGCAATGCATTGGCATCGGTGACAACATTGTGATGATTTGTAAGGACGGATATTCTCGAGGACCAACACGACAGGTATAGAAAAAAGAAAAAGAAAATAAGATGCATTCTCCTCGCGCGTGAATATTTTTAACGGCAACCGTTAAAATAATAACAGCCATGGAAGAGAGCCTTGACAACTTGCTCGGCGACGGGGACGGCGTCGAGGAGCTGACGGCGCAGACGGCGCTTCAGGAGATCGAGAACGCCTGGATGAACGAGAGATTCGCACCGGAGATCCTGCCGCACCAGTCCGACCTGGTGGACTGCATGCTGCAGCAGATCGCGCACATGGAGGAGAACATTAGGAGGTTAGACAGGTGCGATCTGCGTGCGCTGGTCCACCGGATGGAGCTCGATCGGATCAAGTACGTCATCAGCAGCTACCTGCGCGCGCGCCTGGAGAAGCTCGAACGTTACACGATCCACATCCTGGAGGAGGAGGCGAACAGGAGCCCGGAGGAGGCCTACCTGACGCCGGGTGAGTCGCGCTTCGCCAACGAGTACCGGGCCAGTCTGGAGACGCTCTTCAGGACGGTCGCGTTGCAGCACATGCCGGCCAACTTTCAAAAATTCGAGGAGAACAACTTCAACATTAAGCCCAATCTGCAGGCGCACGTGTTCCTGCGTGCGAATCGCAGGGTCACCGGCATCGTCCTGCCTGGCATGTTGAACGAGGAGATAGACTTTGAAGAAGGCTCGCAGCACATTATACAGTACAGCGCTGTGGCACACTTGGTTAAATCCGGTGTAGTGCAGTTGATTTGATATTCTTTGATTCAAGGAAACGACTTGAGAGAAGTGAAAGGTTGTGATATGTCTCTTTTTACAGAAGAGTATATATTTTTATTTATATATAATATTACAATAATCTTGATACAAATTCTCAATAATCAATCATTTAAAAAACTTATTTCTTTCAATTTTACTGTCATAACATACATGTATAAGATACATAGGGCCATAAAGCTCATCAATTTATAGGTATTGATGGGAGAGCAGTTATAAGGAAGAATCTTAAGTTCTAGAAGTGAGAATGAAGGATTCTTCGAATCCTAGTTGATTCTACTAATTTTTCATATATACGTGTAATATCACAATTGACAATATCACTCGAGTATCAGTAAATAACATGCCCTTTTTTGTTTCCTATGCAGAAGTTTAGCATTGCATTGTATTATTGTATGCTCTCAGATAAATTCAATTTGTCAAACAACTTGATTACCGACAATAGCATTATAAACTTGTTGCAATTGATTGCGTCATTATCAGCATTTTTCAAGCAAAATATAGTTTTTTTTAATGATATTTCAATTATTTCAAAGTTGTAGCAATGCCGTTTGTAGAAACTCTTAAAACTTGTAGAAGATATTACTTGTAAAAATGTATTAAAGGCCTCGTTGTAAGCGCGAAGATGATAAATGTACTTTCTAAAAAGGAAATTTTACTTTCAAACTACATAAAAGTTTATAAAAAAATAAGTAAAAATAAGTAACAAATTATTTAAAGTAAGTACCTAATGAGTTGTCTCTAAAAAGTATTGCATCAAAAAGTAAAAATATTTAATTAAAATTAAGTAGAAAAAAAGGCAAGTAGATTTGTTCGTTTGTCATCAGAGAGATGCTGTTACAGTACAACTTCCCTAGAAAATCATGACAGCCCACGCTGTCGATCGTAAGCCTGTAAATAAAATATCACACATAAATACTTAAAAATGTTTTTTTTGTCGCAATCTTTATCGCCATGTGACAGCGATTGATTTACCTCTTTGGCGTATTGTTTAAGTTGTTCAGTCATCGCCCTTCCCGTTTCTTGCACCATGCCATTGAAGTGGCTTCGTTCGTTTTGCAGCAAAATGTACGGATGATCGAATTCCAACATTTGACCTTGATCCATTGTCAGTACCTTATCGCTGTCTATTATCGTGTTCAATCTGTGCGCTACTGTCAGTACCGTGCATTCTTCAAACTTCTTTCGGATCGTGGCTTGTATGAGCGCGTCCGTCGTAGGATCCACATTGGCGGTAGCTTCATCGAGTACAAGTATTTTATTGTCCTGTAGAATGGCGCGCGCCAGGCAAACCAGCTGCCGTTGTCCAACGCTGAAGTTACTGCCGCCCTGCTCGACGCGGTAGTCCAACGAGTCCACCATTTGTTTTAATTTCACCTCCTCCAAGACACTCCACAGATCGGCGTCGTGAAACTTGTGAAAAGGGTCGAGATTATCTCGAAGTGTAGCGGAGAACAATACCGGTTCCTGCGGTATTATGGAGATTTTGTTTCTCAAATCGTGAAGACCGATCTTCTTTGTGTCAATGTTGTCAATGTAGATAGCGCCGTCGAGTTTTGCCATACGAAACAAAGCGGAGATCAGAGATGATTTTCCAGCTCCGGTACGACCCACAATTCCAACCTGAAGAATCAGATAGGAAGAATTTAGAATATATAAATGTTTTTTTTATGTTGTATATTTTATATATACATATAATATATAGAGTTTTAAACAGTTTTGGCACATTAAATGTCAATGTTAGTGTCATTTTAAATAGCATTATTAATATCTATTACTAGTAGAAATCACTTAAAAGTTTTTAAATGAAACTCCTCATTTTTACATATTCTTGTAGCTAATTTCGAGAATTAAAATAATTTTTAAAATGCTGAAATAATGTAATGCCATTTAAAACTGTATAACTTTTTTAGTTAAAGCATTTTTTTGAAAAATGTTTTATTTTCGAGAGTTTTATTTTAAAGAGATGTTGAAGGGGTGATCTCAGACAACCCGTATATGTATATATATAATTTGTAGAATGATTTTTGGAAAACAGGTTTTTCATTTGTACAACAAATGATAATTACTTTCATTCCAGGTTCGATGATGAAACTTAAACATTTGAGGACATGTGGCTCGGATTCGGAGTATCGAAGATAAATACGATCGAATCTAATTTCTCCCTTAGAAGGCCAATTACTCGACGGTTTATCTACGGGATTACTCTCGAACGGACCCTCTTTTTCAAGCTCGGTGAATTGCATTATTCTTTCTACGCTCGTCATTTGTATAATCGTCTCGGCAGTTTGACGTATTCCGTATTGCACCATAGAGCACAAGATGAGCACTTGCGAGATTGCTAAACCGACATTTCCGGCGAAAGTGTTTCCTGCAAAAGCAAAGATAATCTGTAGGTATATTCTATTATTACGGAACCGTACCGTAATTGGTGATTTTAAATTTGTTAATTATAACATTGATTGTTGAAAAATTTACCATCGTCGAATATGACAAAACTATACGTAACGACAGCGATGAATCCGACAGACACGATGTCTAGCGCCAAGCCGAACGCTGTGCCAGCTGCGACAATTAGCGAATAGGTCCCAGTGTGTAAATCTTGATGTTCGTCGAATTGTTTGCGAATCATTTCCTGGACACCGGTAGAACGTATTATCGTCAGGCCCGACAATGTGGAGTTTACATGCGAGAATACAGGACTCTTCGCTGAAAAAATTTAGAACGAACGTTAATTTAAGGAAACGCGAAAGCTTTAGATTGTTTCTAGAGAAGAAAAGTGATTTACCAATTCCCTCTAGTCGTTTTGTGGTTTGCGCTATTGGAAGATAAATTCTTCTTATCACGCCGAATAAGAAAAACATAATGATTACCGCGAATATGATCCACCAATTGATAATAAGTACTAGCACCAGAATTCCAATTGTCACTGCAAATATTTGAATGGATTCTATCATGGATCTGGGTAAGATTTCGTCCACTGCGCCGATGTCCTTCGAGAAACGATTTAAAATTCGACCTGGGGGGAATGCAATTTTTATTTACCCTTACATCTCATTATATTAAAATGACAATCGCTGATATCAAATATTATTATACTTACCGGATGGGTTGTTATCGAAGAATGACATCGGCGCTTTAAGTACGCACGAAAACATGAAGTTATGCAGATTCTTGCCGGCGTTCATGCATATCTTGTAGAAGATTAAATTTCGTATTGTCGTTACCACAACACTAATAATGATAAAACCTCCGTAAATCCACAAGGCCGTATCCGTATCGAGATAGTACATATCCTCATCTATAATTTTGATCTAATTTGAAATGAAATAGTAAAATATTTACGATACAAATGCAAGACTGAATATTATGTAGAAAAGTAGGAAATACTAACAGTTATTAATAGTAAAATTTTGTGACGATATAGTATCATTGGGTATATTCTCCCTATAATAGTCTGTAGTGTTTACAAACTCGTTATTAATCTCTGATTTATTTTCCATTTGTCCAGTAAATCTCAATGTGGAAGAAGGCATTGTAAGGTTGTTCGCTGCACTGTGCTCTCGTTCGCGCATAGTTTTGATATGTAACTCTTCCTGCTTCGTCCTGCATCGTAAAGTTAATCATATATGCGACTATCAAGGTTTTCTAACGTTGAATCAAATCAAATCCATTTCTTTATTCGAATCCGAAATCCGAATCGAATTAAATCGTTGAAACATAACTTTTTATTAATTAACAACATAATTATTGTTAGGTTGAATTGTTAGGAATAAATAAAATAGCATATATAATAAATATTATTTTTCTTACATAGATAACAAAAAGATTTCTATGTAAGAAAAATAATATTTATTATATGATAGGCTATTTTATTTATTAGCGGGAAATATGATTTTATAAAATTGTCAATATATGCGAATCGTATTCGAAATTTTCGAATAGTTCGAATCATTAAAGATTCAAAATCATAGAGATTCAAACTCGAATCGAATCAAATTTTACCTGATTCGATTTGATTCATTGAATTCACATTCAAATAGTTCACGCATAACTATATACTTGGAAATAGATTCTTTCTACTTGAAAATCTATTATCTATTCGAAATAAATTCTTTCTCGTAAAAGACTTACCAATAACCGACCCAGTAATCGCAGCCGTTACTTCCGATTTGTCCCAAAATCAGGCAAAACAGACAGCTCATGATCATAATGATTGAGCCACCGCTACGAAAATATTTCCAATAAAGCGATTTCGACAAATTTCCTTTGGCCAGAAGCTCTTCGGTTTCTTGAGGTTCGGCTTCCTCCGTATCTTCATCGTTATCATTTTGAATTACGGCAGATGCAGGATCTGCGTCGGTTTTTAATGATTCCTTTGTTTGTTCGCTAATCTCTTCGTTTCTCATTAATACTTCCAAAAAGGTCGCACGTTTCTCTTGAAGGGCTGTAAACGTGCCTTCATCCTCAATTTGACCCTTTGTGAAAAAATTCACGTAATTAAATTATATATATTATATATTTCATAATTATAATAAAAATTTATTTATAAATGATTATATATAAACATATCTATATATCGTCGCATTGAAAAATGACATAAATAAGCCTTTTTGAGACAATAAAAGAAAACCGATCCTAAAAGCCTTAGGATTAATTTCCTTTCGTTAGCTCAAAAATGCAAATTCTTTACACTTGTGTCATTTTTCTTTCTTTCAACGTGGCGACGTATGCAACGTAATATTTTACATACATTATTAAGAATAACGATGTAGTCGCATTGTTTCAAGTACTGCAATTGATGAGTCACGAGTATTCTTGTCTTGTTTCGCAAATAATTATTCATGCACTCGTTAAATAAATGTCTACCAACGTGAGTGTCAACAGCTGATAAAGGATCGTCAAAAAGGTAAATATCGGCGTCTCTGTAGACGGCTCTGTAAGCACCAATTATGTTAGAAAGTATTCTATACAAAATACTTGCTTCGCAGGATGCAAATGTGTACCTCGCCAGATTAATCCTTGCACGTTGTCCACCGCTGAGTGCCGTGCCTCTTTCACCGACTAAGGTCTTATCGCCATACGGAAGTTGTTCGAAATCCCTCGTAAGAGCGCATACGTTTACGATATTCTGATATTTATCTTTGTCGTAAGGCTGGCCGAACAAAATGTTATTTCGCACTGTGCCTGCGAATAGCCAGGGCTCTTGACTGGCATATGACATTTTGCCGTCTATGTGTATTTGACCTTGCGACGATTTCAATTCGCCTAAAATCGCTTGCAGGAAGGAACTCTAAAATGAAATACAAAAAGATTTTTTTTTTCTTAAAATAAATATTAAAATTCTCTTTATACAAAATAAATGTCAATGGACATATACCTTTCCTGCGCCCACAGGACCAACGATAGTGTAAAGTTTTTTATCTTTAATTTGAACGTTGATATTATGTAACGTATTTACGATTGCATTCGTTGTCCAAGAAGCGCTAACGGTTTTCATTGTAACACTTGCTTCTTTGACAGTTAATGAGGACTGCGTCAATGGAACGTTCTCGTTCAATAACAAAAAGTCCTAGTAAAAATATAGAAGAGTTAATTACACTAGATTAATTGTTCAAATATTAACGAGACTGATGATTTTTTTTAGTATAAAAAAATTTATATTATTTATCTATAAATATTATATCTATTACTTTACATATTCATCCTAGAGTTCGAAACAATTTTTTCCAAATTTTTGGAAATTTCTTTATACTCTTAAAGACTCGAAATTTGGAAAGTTAATCATTTTTTTCTTCTCAAGTAGTACGATTTATTCAGACGTGAATGTGTCGAAAATGAATCAGCAAAATTAATGACAATTGTACAAAATTGGATACTCAACCAAAAACCTTCGAAAACGGTAGAAAGAAACTTCCAAGAAATTTAGGAAAAATTGTCTTGAACTTCAGGGGAATACATAAAAAATAGTATAGATATAATAATTCTAATTAAATGTTTGTTATGAGAATTTAAAAAAAAGTGGTCTCGTTAATATTTAAACAATCTAATATTATTTGTCTACTATATCATAATATTTTGTTATGATAACGATTTTTATCTACTGTTATAAGCACGTATAAATATATTTGACAGTAGACCACCAATATATTAAAACATTCACAGATATCTATATCTTAGTAGACGAAATCTCAATTAATATAATATTTACATAATGTCATAATCATTGACTAATTTTTAATTTTTAATTTTTTTACTTCAGAGTTGATCTTTATTAGCTCAACTTGATCATCTTACTTCAATTCTTTTTATGGAAACTGCTGCTTCGGCAGCACTCGCCATAGCCCACGGATAAAATATTGCCATAGTAAGTTGGAGAACATTAAAATACTGTGCCATTGAGAATACTTTATCGGCGGATATAGGATGATCATAAAGTACATAGGCCATAATAGTAAAATACAACGTTGTCCTTTCCGTGAAAACAAATGTGGCTAATGTAAAACCTCTTAGATATGATATCAGCGTGAGAACGTCGATTTCGTACCTAGACAAAAAAAAATGATATAATACAAATTATATTTAATCTCTTTGCGACAACAATGACTGAAATGTGTACAAACTTTCTTGCGCGATTAACTAATTCTTCGAATGGTTTCTCCCAAGTGTACATTTTAATCACTTGTATGCCCTTGATTATTTCAGACATCAAACGGACTCTCTCGTCGGTTCTTACTGCGATTTTTAAACGTAACTTCGAGGTCAATCTGCTTATGTAACCTGTCAAGTATGTAAAATTAGTAATTTGCAAGGAAAGAGGTTCTCCAACTCAAAAATTCAAAAAATTATGAAAATATTAACGATACAAAAGATCTAATATGTAATAAATTATTTTATTTTGCTGCCTTAAATTCATCCTGAAGAGATATAAAATCAATCCTAAAAAGTTGACATTTTTCGTTTTTGTTTTATTATTTATCAATGAAAGGGAATAGAAAACAAAATTTATATAGAGAAAACTTTATTATTTCTTTCAATGAGATTTGTTGATTAAAATATTTATCAATTGTTGAAGAATTACAAAAAATGAATGAAACCGAAACGACAAATGGGCCAACTTTCAAGGATTGATTTTATCTTTTCAGAATAAATTCAGGCAATAAAAAAAAATAGTTTATTACATCAGGATATTTTCTATATATCGCGAAAATTTGGGAATCTTCCCTTGTTAGTCGATAGATGTATATGTTTGCAACAAAACAACTGTACGTTACCTTGAAGAGGAATAGTCTGAACAATCATGAGAAGTACACCGGCCAAAGAAGCGATACCAACGCTCTGCCATATCAGAAATGCAATTATAGCCCCTTGTATAGGCAGAATCCAAATGTAATGTAAGTACATGAACAGTTGTTCGAATTTTGACATGTCGTTTGATAACAAATTAATAATTTGTCCCGGAGTGGTACCTGTAGAACTGGACAAGCGTAATATCTAAAGAGAGAAACAGATATTTGAGAAACTTTTAGATTAATTTTTAAAAAACGTCAACTAAAAATCAAGTTAACCAGATACTCTAGTATACCTTCCTGTATACTAAAGAGGAGCTTGCTATTCTCACTCGCATTCCAATTTCCATTAAGCCCAGATTCGTATGATGAGTGATCAAAACATTCAATATTCCTAGGGCAATCATACCAGATGCGTAGAGGTACGCTTTTTCCTGAGTAGATGCTGCTCTCGGATCAAAGTTCCAAATGAATAGACCCAAAGTATATATTTGTACGATTCTGTAATATGTATTTTTATGAGTAAATAACAATGAGATTGTTCTAATATGCAGTTACCTCACAACAGAAGTTAACAATAAAATCCATCCTCCATAATAAAAAAATGACCATATAAACATCTTTTTCAAAGCTGTGAAAAATTTAGGTTTCCTGCCGTCCTTCTTAGCTGCGTGCACTTCGTTTGTCCAATTTCTGAAAGTATCTATACATTAGAAAAGTATCGATAACATTATCAATAATTTATTAAGAGATTACAATTGAGCTAAGCTAATTAATTGTAATCTCAACATGTAACTTATAAAAACAAAATAATTTACTCTTCCAATTTGTCTCCCAAAAGTTCACTGTTATCAGCTGGCATAATATTGTATACATTTTTCATCTCCAAGTCTTTTCCATACCAGAATATTCCCGTCGACCACCTTAAACATAACAATAAAGAATTACATAGTAACGGTGACATGATTTTTGCATAATAACAGTTACGGTTTACAACTGCAAATTCAACCTTTTTACTTATGTTAGAATTTTACTTATATCATTATTTTAGTTTCGTATTATTCTTTTTATCTATGCAATAGATTGCATTATTTTTAATTGCAGAATCGATATTTCGAATTGGATAAAAATTTATATTGAAAAATATTTTCTACTTTATATCTTACGCATTCCAGTATATAGTTACTGCTAACACTGAAATCTATAGTATATATGTAATGTAAATTATAAATTTTCAGTTATATTAGTGATGAATATTGGAATAAATTTGCGTTTGTGAAAGACAATCTAAATTCCTAAAGATATATTAGGTGTACAAAAAAGTTCTGAGCTTTTTTTTGTAAAATTCAATCTTTATTCAAAAACAAACAAAAAAATATTAATCAGCGAAATATTCCCCATCAACGATCTTTTGCCATCTTTCGAATAGCTTGCGAATTCCTTGACGATAGAAGCTCACCGGCTTCGAAGCGATAAAGTCATCAATGCATTTTCGTATCTCTTCAAATCTCACGAAATGTGTATCAGCCAAATGATGCTGCAGCGACCGGAATAGGTAGTAATCGGAAGGCGTTTGGGCTATACGCCGCGTGCTGAAGAAGTTCCCAGCCTAACGCAAAGATATGGTCTGAATCACTTTCGCAACACGTGGTCGAGCATTGTCATGAAGCAAGATTACTTTACGACGTCCTTGGCCAGTAAATGGCTCTTTTCTTTTAATGCATCACTCAAATTGATCAATTGTTGTTCTCTTCATATGCAGCAAAAATCATTGCAGTGGCTTCAGCAGCATTTTTCTTCAGATGAAACGCGAAGTGGATGGAAAATCGAATATGCTCTTTTGTTATTGCCATCGTGAACACTATTGATTTATGTGCATCAAACGCCAAACCGTATGGCATTTTAGAAGACCAAATGTCAACGCTTTAAAACCGCAAAAGGGCGGGAAGATATATAAAATTTAAATTGTTATTTCTGTTGTATGAAATCTAAAGCTCAGAACTTTTTTATACACCTAATATTATTAAAAATAAAAACATTAATGTAAAGAATTATAGAACATTTATTAGATAAGTTTAATATAAAAAAAGCTTGCTGTATAGAAACTTGCTTAGTGTTTTAAATTATAATATTGGTTATTAAATAATGTCATTTTAAAATTTATAAATATCTTACTTGGCATTACAAAAAAAGTAACGAATTACTTTCTATCAAGTAGCTAATGCGTTAATTATTTTTATCAAGTAACGTTCCCAACTTTGCATGTATAATTAAGAATGTATTTACTTTTATGAGATAGATATTTAAGATCAGATGTCTTGCTTTTGGTAAAACAGTCCCATTGTCCCGCTAAATATTATATATATTTTAACATAAAACTTCGCTGAAAAAAAGGAAAAATTGTGCTAAATTGTAAATCTCTAATACGTTTAAAGGATTAGGCTACAAAAAATCGATTTTTTACTTTAAACGATAATTTATAATCTTAAAAATAAGATCCTAGTAGTTTAAAAAAAAATTCTTATTTTTTAAATAAGTTTGAAATCAATTTAGTGAAGCGCGCCTTCATAGCGCTATTGAACGATTCAAAATTGCTCAATAATATCTCTTGCTAAAAATGCTCGAAAATAAAGTAGAGAAAATAGGAAAAAAGAAGAGAAGTTAAATATTGCAGAGATAAATTTGATGTTTTCTACTTTAATATGAAATATAAGTAAAACTTTAAAAGCGGTTTATGTGTATATATACAATTTGGAATATCACGTTAAACTTTAAAAGTCGATTACATGTAGATATATGTATGCTGCGTATTTATAAGATAAAGTATATAATTACACAATTACGCTACTATCAACTGACAACTTAACTAACTGATTCCCATCGAAAGAGTTGAAATAATTTACTTATCGCGTAGATTATATTAAATCCATTTTAAATGTCTATGTAATACTCTTGTACGAGTACTATATATCTAATACTTATCGTCTTTCATGATCTTAGAACTTCTGCTCACTCACAAAATGCATTATCTCAGGTCGTAAGATAATATATAGTGGTGAAGAGCTAGAAGCCTTAAGCTTGATTTATGCAGGCTGTTAAATCATTTGTCAGAACCGGTAAATCATTCATAATAAATATCTTTCTAACAATGTAGATTATCTTTAATCACGGTTTCATTTACTTTTTATCTTTTTCTAATTTTTAAAATTAGGAAAAGATACAAATTAGTAAGTTAAACCTGGATTAAAGTTAATCTACGTTGGTAGAAATAGACATTAGAACTTTATCGGTTCCGGCAAAAGTTAACGATTACGGCCTGCGTAAACCAGGCTTTAAGGTCCAGATATTTCAGATTTTATACATACAGGGTGTTCCTTAAATACACATGTTTTTATTGCCATACTCGAGGAAGCAATTTTTTATGGTTTATTTCAAGTAAAAAAGTTCATATAAACATATTGTGTCCTAAGCGGTTTAGTTTCCGAAATATAGGATGTTTTTATAAAAATATTACTACAAAAATATGAATATTAATATTATTACTACACGTTTATATTTTTTTGAAAAACACCATATATTGGAAACTAAACTGCTTAGGATACATAATATGTTTATATGAACTTTTTTACTTTAAATAAAACAAAGATTAAAGTGGTTTTCGAGCAAGTCCCAGTCAAAAATTAGTTCCTCCATATGACTAATAAAAATTCAATAAAAACATTTTGCATAGACTGTACAGTCGTGGACACATCGATTGCGACATTTTTTTTTATAGGTTTCTATATACCTATATATATTTAATATACATAATATATATACTTTATCAGGGGTCGGTCGTATTTAAAATAACATTACTAAAAATATATGTATTTTAAATAACAAAAAGTAAAAACGTTATTTAGTATTTATTATTTTAAATAGCTTCTTCTGATCTACTTTATATTTTATATTTTAAATATGTTTTTGGAATTTATATTTTTTATTTTAAATAAGTCGTGTTTTTGGAATCTATTTCATATTTATTATTTTAAATAAATTATATTAGTTACTTTACCGACTTCTGCTTATCAGGGATCGGTCGTATTTAAAAAAGCATTATTTAAAATATGTATTTTAAATAAGAAAAAGTAAAAGAATTATTTAGAACTTATTATTCTAAATAATTTCTTCTGATCTATTTCTTATTTAATATTTTAAATATATTTTTGAAATCTATTTTATATTTTTCATTTTAAATAAGTCGTATCAGTTTTTTATTGACCCCTGCGATATTTTATTTTAAATAAGTTTCTGGAATCTATTTTATATTTATTATTTTAAATAAGTTGTATCAGTTATTTTACCGACCCCTGTTATTTTGTATTTGATTAATCCGATCCGTTTACCGATCGAAAAATGATCGGAGGAGGACTTAAACGGCGCATTTCCAATCAAAATCATTGGACATTTTTCTCATTGTCAGTGTAAGTATGTCAATTCGCCAACTGATCGCGCGAATGCGAAGGTGACAGGCACGTTCTGCGCGCGATGATTTATCCGACGGCGGATCTCCCGGCAATGTCGTCGGACGTGAGAATCACGGCGAGCTACGAGACGGCGGATCGTGGGAGCCTGCGCGTACTTCAGAAGACGACCCAACTGCCCCTGAAGATGATGCTGAGGGCCTGCCCACCCGAGAACACGTCCACCTTCACGGCGACCATCAAGTGCAGCGAGCCCCTCGTGGCTTTTAGCCAGCTGTTTCCCGGTAAATCCATCGGCACCGTCGTTTATAATGCCCCTCACCCTTTCCCGCGCCTTTCGCGGCCAGGGCTGCAACCGCGATAAAACTATATATTCCCTCGAATCTACCGCCGTACAAATTTTTACCGCGATTTATTTGCACGATAAAATTATAACGAACTCTCCCGAGAATCTCTCCAATTCGTTCCTCAAGTTAATTCGTTTTAAATTTAAATTTTGACTTATAAAAATTAACATTGCATCGTATATAATCGCTTACAAATAACTCTCCTCTGAGAATTTTACTCTATCTGTCTAAATTATCGTAGAGAAATATCGCGATGAAATCGATGAAATTACGTAAATTCATAAAACCTTTTTAACGCAAAAGACGATGCGTCATCTTGAATGAAAAATAGATGTGTCCACAAGTCGCACGATACTGTCGCAATTGTACCTTCAATAATTAATGGAGAGATGTGCAACCGATATCTAAAGTTTAACATATAATATAAAATTCCCATGAATGTCAACGATCTATGAGCCGTGGAGAAATCGGTTGTTTACACATGCGACATTATTAAGCCGTAGCTTTGTGTTGCCGCCCTGTTGGGACGCCCAACGCGCGCCGTAAAGGATTCCCTAAAATCTCACGGATCTTTTTTTTTACTTCCACTATATACCTCGTATTTCGCCCCGCTGTTCCCCGCGCGTTCGGAAATTACGGGCTAGGAAATTGTGGATAGAGAATTAGGATGTCTCGTTTGCGAACGGCGATATTAAGGAATCCAGTCTCTCTCTCTCTTTCTCTCTCTCTCTCTCTCTCGTTTGTGGTTTTAAACGCGCGCGGCATCTCGGCCCACCTAATACGATAATCAGACATCGCGGGCCCCAGGGACCTTACCCGGACCTCTTCAATCACGGCGCATTTTCTTCCTTTTATCGGCCTCTCGACTTTAAGCCTCGCACACCTGGTAGATTCGTAATTTAAAGTCGGTAAAATTCTCGTTAAGTGAATTCCTTCCCTCCCATGAGACCGCCCCAGGATAAAAAAATATCAATGTCTTGTTTCAAGTATATACCTACACACAATAGGCTGCAAAGTGCAAAGAATATCTTCGAATTTTCAACCATCATTTTTATTACAAGCACTTCGACAAATTTTAACTATTTTAGGAGAAAAATTTTGGAAGACATTAACACCATTAAGGGGTTACACCACCTTGACCGCCTAAAAATCAATCGGTAACTTTGGGAATTTTTTTTAGGAAAACAATAAAAGTAACAAAAAATTCATTTTAAGGCTTTAATAATACAAGTCTTTAGAAGTAAAAAATATTTTTTTAATTTATTTTTTTAACAAAATGGCGACGCTGAAGCCAATTAGATCGGAAGAGCACACGT